GGGGGCTGCTTCTAACAGCTCTGCTGTGTTGTTGCCCTGGGAGGATGCCCTCCCACTTAATCAGTGGCCAGCCTCTCAACCTTGTGTGACAGAGTCCGCCAACCAGCATTAGAGTGTCACTTTGGTATAGCTCCACAATTCCTAGCAAAGACTTGTGGTTAAAATGAGGCCTTTGCTTCATTTTAATTTAGTTAAACTAACTCCTATTTTTTAAAACAAATTGGTGTGGGGACGCCTGGGTGGCTCAGTCAGTTAAGCGTCTGCCTTCAGCTCAGGTCATGATCCCAGTGTCCTGGGATCAAGTCCCGCATTGGGCTCCTTGCTCGGCGGGGAAACTGCTTCTCCCTCTGCCTGCTGCTCTCCCTGCTTGTGTGCTCTCTCTTTCTCTCTCTGACAAATAAAACCTTAAAAAAAAAAAAAAACCACAAAAAAACAAATTGATGTGTTGGATGATGAGAAAACTGTCATCTCTTATTGAGATGATTATAGGACATCACTGGAAGTTGCAATTTTCTGACCTTTATTGCTGTCTGCTGGCAATGGTTCCTAATTCATCAGGGAAAACATGTATTTATTGATCACCCTCTATATTCTCCATACTAGGATATAAAGTCTAGTAAAACAACCTCTGTCTTAACATTCTACTAAAATATAGTTCTAATTATTGAACAGAAGTGTAAGATGAAATTGGGAATTCTTTGAGAATTTTCCTGTTGTCTTCCCAGATTGCCCACAAAAGGAGAAAGAGAGAGGGTAGTGTGGGAGAGACCCCGAGACAAGGGAAAGGAGAATGCTTAGGGTAGGTGGTTGTCAGAACTGAATCTGCAGTTTGGGAGAACTGAGCCAGAGGCAGGAAGGAGGCAAGTGAGCAGGAGAGGTCCGAGCCTTTTGGACACAGGGATCACAAGACAGGTAAAGTTTTTAGACTGAGGTCAGAATCAAAGAAGACCAGGGCAAAGATTAATTAGAAGCTGGGAAGGATCAGAGGAAATATCCAGGGGAGTTTCCAAATTAGTGATCTGTGCTCACAAAGGTTTTCTGGCAAGTACTGTCCTTTAGAAGTAGCTCAGGATGTCTTGAGCCTTCAAATGATCTATCCCACTGGCCCTGAAGTTCCAAAGAATGAAATTACTCAACCTGATTGTGGAGCTCCTACACTGGACACTGTTGGGAGGAATCCCAGGACATTTTCAGGGAATAGAAACAAATCTAGTCAACTTGATTAAAAGCTGAATCTAGAAAGCCAAATTGGGCAAGATAACGTGGGCCCTAATGCCACAGTGAGGAATGAAAATTTAATTTTTTTTTTTTAAAGATTTTATTTATTTGACAGAGAGAGATCACAAGTAGGCAGAGAGGCAGGCAGAGAGAGAGAGGGGAGGAAGCAGGCTCCCTGAAAATTTAATTTGATAAACATAGGAGTCTTTGCACATTTCTTAACATGGAAAGGACAGGTTTAAAACATCTTTCATCTTTTCTGTGACACAACCAACACAATTTATACTAGTTTCCAACTATGAGATACCAACGTTTTTGTTTTGGTACAAACAATATTTTTTCCTTTCCTCCAAACCTTGTCTTTTTCTTTCCACTACAAAATGAGTAGCATTATGAAATAGAGGACAGATCATAGACAGTCAGAAAGACCCGAACCCAAGTCTACATAGACCAGGCTGCTACTGATGTATTCAAATAAGTGCCTGCTGTGAGCCAGGCTAAGGTGATGGCAGCGGATAGTACAGACAGATTCTCTGTCCACGAGAGGAGAGAAAGATAAGTAAAAACAAATACATGTGCTATGTAACGTAGAAGGGTGGTATAAAGAATAATAGAGTAAAGGGTTAGATTCTGATAGGGAGTGCTTGCGGTGACTTCATAACAAAAACAAGTGAAATGGAGCAATCTGAGGGGAAAACAGGTAAGAACATTCTAAGCAGAAGAAAGAACCAGGACAAAGTGTTGATTTGCACTTCCCTGGTACTCTCCAAAGAAGGCATTGTGACTAGCGTCTTGAAAGGTCGTAAGAATGGCAAGAGATACGTACGGTTGGAGAGGTAGAGTCAGATGATATAACGTCTTGTTGGACATGGAAAAGAATTGGGATTTTTTTCTGAGGGGATGATTTTGAGAAAGGGAGCTAATATTTCAGTTTATATTTTCAAATATTATTCTGGTTCTTCTATAATGAATTGCTTGAAAGGAGGAGGGGGAAGTTGGCATATGTGGAAGCAAAATCACCTTCCTCAGTTAACATTATGAAAATATCCTTGCTTATAATTCTGTAATAGAGCTTAATAGTTAGTCAAGTTAGGGTAGACTCCTGGATTTAATATTCCAAAGATAGTGTAAGCATAGTGTTCTAAAGTGTATTATCTCCCAGGTCTCGACACCAAATTTTTAAAAAATGAATTTGGTGCATTATTAAATGTAAAAAATTGTTAGTAAAATGATTGCAATTAGTTACTTCTCTGGCTTACTTACAAGAGTCCTACTTACGAGAACATTGTTCGGGCCTCAGCATCTTTGAAAGGGAAGGGCAATTAGGTAATCTCTGGGGTCTCGTGGAGTTCTAAATTTCTGTGTTTCTGAGAACAAGCCAGGTAAGCATAATAGTGGACATAGCTTTATATATATTAGTTCCTGTAAAATAGCTGGATGGAAAAATTCCCAACATTTTAAGCATAGGTTCTTTTCAAGAGCTCATTTGAACAGACCATTATACTATGGTATTTATAAACCTATTCAGGGTTGTATGCTTATTGTGAAGAATACACAATTGGAAGGGAAAATAATGTAAAGCATATACTATGAATGCTAATAATCTTAAATGACCAGAAAACTATATATTTAAAAGTTTTTATTTATTTATTTGAGAGAGAGCAAGAGAACATGAGCAGGGTGAGGGGCAGAGGGGGAAGCAGACTCCCCACTGAGCAGGGAGCCTGATGCGGGGCTCGTTCCTGGGACCCCAGGACCATGACCTGAGCCAAAGTCAAACACTTAACCAACTGAGCCACCCAAGGACCCCAGAAAGCTGTATTTTAAGAAACAACTTAATTTGGAGTGCAAGTTTTATTTTTATCTGAGAGAGAGAGTGCAAGTGGTGGGGCGGGGCTGAGGGCAAGGAAGAGGATCTCAAGCAGACCCCACACTGAGGGCAGAGTCCAACATAGGCTGGAATCCATGACCCTGAGATCATGACCTGAGCTGAAACCAAGAGTGAGACACTCAACCGACTGAGGCACCCAGGTACCCCTTGAGTGTAGGTTTTAAAGTACATTTCTCTGGTAGAATTATTCTTGTCCTATTTTATAATTCATCACATTCAATTTTCCATCAAGAGTGTAAGTAGCATATTATTTTTGGGAACTACAGAGAGCATCCATCTGCCCACTTTTCTGCCCAGTAATATATGTATGACTCAATGTTAAAGGTGACAAAGAATTAAGTGCTTTGCATTCTATGTTATAACTTAGAAGGTTTATAGTAGAGTTTCTCAATCTCAGCACTCAGGACATTTTGGGTCAGATAATTCTCTGTTGTAGGAGGCTGTCCTGTGTATTGTGGGATGTTTAGTAGCATCCCTGACCTCTACCTATTAGATACCAGTTGTGACAACCAAGAAATGGCAAATATCCCTTTGGGGGCAAAATCACCCCCAGTTGTTTTATAGTAGATATCTGCTTCTTTGTCTCTATTTTAGGAGATCGGAAACTTCTAAAATATCTAAGTTGATTCTATGAAGCTTGTAATCTTATATTTTGGATACTGGAGAGATTTTTTTCTTCCTTTTTCCAACAAAGGAATGGTTACTCCTTCTCACGTAGACTTGGGGGCATTGCCTCCTCCAATTTAAAAACAATGAGTTGGGTACCTGGGTGGCTCAGTGGGTTACACCTCTGCCTTCAGCTCAGGTCATTGATCTCAGGTTCCTGGGACCCAGGCCCACATCAGGCTCTCTGCTCAGCAGGGAGCCTGCTTCCCTCTCTCTCTCTCTCTCTCTCTCTCTCTGCCTGCCTCTCTGCCTACTTGCAATTTCTTGCTCTGTCAAATAAATAAAATCTTTAAAATAAAAACAATGAGTCTGTGTCAATTACAGCAGTGTCTTTGTCAATATTAGATAAGATTTGCTCATCTCCACCCCTGGAGCAATGCCCTGATTATCATACAGGGGGGAAATGCTCAAAGCTGCCTCAGTTCACCCCCTGCCCGCAACACAGTGCTTGGGCATTTTTGCCCAATATTGGTAAACAAACTAACTGCCTCAGAGATTTATCCAGATACTCAGTTTCCTGATTAAGTGGAAAAACAAAGAGCCAAAATTCGTTAACTATTAAAATGTGTACATTTACTTCCAAAAATATTGCAGAATGGTTCCATCAGAAACATCTGCACACCTTTTCTTCCCCTCAAAATCAGAGAACTACAATAATATTTTTGCACGTTCTCATGGTCAACATCAGGCCTTCCGAACATAGCACCACCTGCTCAGGGAACCAACCAAAGACTTGCCCAGAGACAGCAGGCACTGGTAATTCTAGGAGAGCACGTTTGTGTAACATGTTCAAGTGAAATCCAGAGTCTAGGGAAATCCAAAGTGACAAACCACCAGATACCATTCTCTACCTCATTCTCATGCACCACCCCCCAACCCCAACTTTTGGCAATGGGAACAGTAGTTAAGACCTGCAAGAGAAAGGATTCCCCTACAGGTCCTGGCACTCCCATCAAATGTCTAGCCAAGGCTGAATAAAGTGAGTTACACAGCAGGAGCTACCAGGAGGCTTTTTGGGATTGTCGAACTTTCCCAGTTGAGAAAATGGGGACCATGTGGAGTGGCCGGACAAAATGAAATACTTCTAAAAATTTAATTTCTTAGTGATTTGGAAAGAAAGCACTAACAGCTCTTGCCTTCTCTAGCCTCTACGTATATTTATCAAGGATAAAGAAAAAAAGTTTGCTAATCCTTAATATTTAAAACTTTAAAGATTTTCCCTAAGATGTAGATTTTTAGAGCAGCCCGAGCGAGGAAACGCTTCCGCTTTCTCTGCTTTCTCCGGGCGAGAATGGCATTCTACTAAAGCCTGGCGCTGTGTGACCTCCCCGCGTTACGGGGACTGGAACTGTGTGTGGGCGGCGTGCCAGTGACGCAGTGACAGGGTCTACCAAGGACCCCTCAGGACACTCTGGACAGCCCTCTCCCTCGGAGCCCCCCGCAGCCCCTCCCCCAGCCCTGGTCCCGCAGCGCCCCTCCCAGCAGCCTGCAGCTCCCCCAGGTGCCCAGGCCGGGGCAGCAGGGCCACTTTAAGGCAGGCCGGGGCTAGGGGTGTGGGGGGTGGGGGTGGGGGCGTACGCACCCACAGCTGCGGACCGCGAGCCATCAGTGCGGCCGAGCGGGCGGCCAGGACGCGGCGGCTTGGCCGAGTTTCTCCTGCGGTGAGGCTGCCCCAGGACCCCGCACGTGGGCAACGGGCCATGGCGGCCTCAATTATCCGCCCAGAGCGCGGCCAAATCTCTGGCCAGGTAAGAGGAGGAGGAAGGGGAGGCAGCTGCGTTGTTTGTAACCGCGCGCGGGCCCTGAGCCCGGTGGCCCCCTTGGCCCGCACAGGCATCTCTCATTTGGGGGACGCCGAGGAGCACGGCTCCAGGAGGGCCACTTCCAGGGGCTTGAGCCGGTACCCGAGGCGGGAGGCCGGAGAGGAGGCCGGCTGAGCGGTTTTGTTACACAGACATGCCTCTCTGGCGCTTGACGCTTGCCAAACTCAAATTTTCAAGCCAGCCGCTGGGAGGGTTACCCGGGAGCGGAACTTTGTAGGTATTCCAGAATGTGAATGACGACAACTTTGGTTTTACTTTGAATATAGGAAAGTGTTTTTAACACGGGAAAGTTTATTTTGAGCATGCTTGTCTCTGCACAGCTTGGCATGCTTTTTTCAGTTCGCCTGCGGGCATTGGGTCCAAAAAGTCCTTGCATGTCCTTCCTCAGGCTTACACCCAAACCGGCAGTTGTGCCTGGAAACCAAAGCCCGTTGGCGGGAAAAGGCATCTGTGCTGTTCACACGTCCTCCCACCCTCCGGGGAACTCAAAAAGCCCACTGGCCTCTTTTGAAAGCACCTGATTTATCTTCCCCTTAGCAGAAGCATAAAACCATGACTGGTTTAGAATAAAAGAAAGAAAGAAAAAAAGAGGGAGGGAGGGAGGAAGGCAGGCAGGAAGGAAGTTAGTTGATGATTAGTCCTCTAGAAAGAGCATAAAGCCTCGCCCACTTCAGAAAGCAAGGCAAGCTGGTGTTGGCTTTCTTCTTATTATTTTTTATTTCTGGATAGAGAAATAGGAGAAGCAAAACTTTTGGGCTGCCTGAAGTTTTGTTAACCCTGAGAATGTTCTGTGTACTTAAATGTCCTCATTCCTTAAGCACAAGCTTTCTGAAATGACCACTTTGAAGCGGACCAGTTTAATCGGTTTTCTTAATTATTTCAAAACAGACGCACCAATTTAAACTCGAAGGAAAAATAGTATTTTATGGTGCAGGATTAGGCAACGCTGCACAAAATGAAATTCTGCATAAAATATCTGATTATCTAGTTGTGCAGAAATGATTGAGGCTTCCTACCCTTAACGAAAGTCTGAAGCCCCAACCGAACCTTTTGTTTGCATTTGAAGAGCAGCTTGCTCAGTTTCTCCAGATAGAGCTGTTTAAATCCCTTGACTCCTGGGGAAACCAGAGGCCAACAATTGCCCTGTGAGAGTACCAGCCCATGCAGCTGCTGCTGATCGTCAGCTCTGCTCCTGGTGATAAGAGTGACATAAATAACAACTCACTAAAATGGAGGAGTGATTTGCTTTAACTACTTCATCACCTGCTGTTACTAATTAAGGGTTTAGCCTGCTGCAGATTGCAAATGGAAATCCAGTGTTTTAAACATGGTGGAGACTGGAGTGCCCTGCATGATGTTGTGATTTAGAAATCAAACTGAGTGGATATAGACCAGAGGTGATGATTGTATCGAAATTTAAAAACTGCCTACACCTCAGCGATCTATACCAAGGTGTTAGCAGTGTTTATCTCCGAAAGGTGGAATTAAAAATACTTTTTATTTCCTCTTTAGGCTTTTTAAAAAAATTTTCCAGTATTTCTCAATGTATATGCATTGCTTCTGTTTAAAAAAAAAAAATGGTGCAGTAAGCAATTCAAATAGAAAAAAATTTCCCATGTAATAAAGTCCCACCATCAGTCGAAGTTGTGATGCTCACAGGTGAAAATCTTGTATGTACTAAAAAAGGCAGTTTCCCAAAGCAAAATGTCATAGAAAGTTTTGTTCGTTTTCATTTTATTATTCCTATCAGTGGATTCTTCTCATCACCTGTGTTCATATTACACTGCCAACAAGTTATTTTTAACTGCATGAATATTCAGATTTAAGTTGATTAGAAGCTATTCAGTTAATTCAAGTTACCTTAGGATAGTGGACTAGGGTGGTGTTCTAATCTGTCTGATTGTTAACATTCCACGTGTGCTATGGCACCAGTTTTGTAGGACAGGGTGGAAGGAAGCCTCTGGCAGGAAAGCAAATAAGTTCTTTCCAGAACTGCTTTATTTCATGCTCCTCTGTAAAGTGCCTTGCATCATGGCGCAGAACTGTAGACGTTTATGCAAAACGGCCTGTTAGTGGTGCTGTATGGCCTTATCCCTTTCTGGATCTTTCCTCTCGGATCTCCCTCATGGCCTGCTCTTCAGAGCTTGCTCTTGACTTCTCTCCATAGTAGCTGAGAGATTCTGGGGAAATTAGCCACTGACTGCAGGATTCCCCCAGAAGGGAATTCTGGGGGAATCCTGCAGTCAGAAGCATCTGCGCTGGTAGGAAAGGGTTCAAGCTAGCCACTGTTTTCTGTTATTTGAGGCTTTTCTCCTCTTTGGGCCCTGTTTCCCCTTCTCCATGGCTCGACATAATGAAAGAGCCATTTGATTTAGGGCGGTTTTCACCACTTGATGGGGACACATGTTCCCCATCTAATTCCACTTCCTTCCTTCCCCATCCAATTGACTGGATGTTTTCTGTGTGCAGGCTTGGTATTATTTCAGAAAACATGGCCATAACTACCAAGTACAAGACATCGTACTAACAGGGTAACAGCCTTGGGATTTAAGTATTATCACCTTCCAGACGAGGATCACAAGGGTCTTACTCAAAGCCGTTAGTAAGTAGCTGGACTAGGCAACAGAACCTGGTCTGTGTGCCTCGAAAGCCTTTGCCCTCTGCCCACAGCATCCAGCTCTTGAAAAAGAATCAGTAGTAGCTTTGGTAGAACTGAGGCTTATACATGATTCTTCCTGTGCTCTGAAGACTGAAAGCTATATATAGCAGCAGAAAAAAAAAAGGATTAGAATGTCAGCCCCATGAAGGCAGGGACCTTGTCTGTCTGTTCACTTTGTATTTGCAACACAGCATCTGCCATGCAGCAGGGGCTCAGTTCTCTCTGGGAGAGAATATAGATAACTGTCATATTTAAGTGATGCAAAGTGGCAGGATGTTTTAAAGGAAAGAGAAAATAAATGTTGGTAGTAGAAAGTTTTACAGGTTATTAATAGCCCAGTACACCTTTGTTTATATGTATTATTTTAGTGCAATTATTAATAGCACTCTCTTTCCCTCTCAAAAGTGTCTCAGTTTATAAGATAAATGGTCACCCTGTCTGTAGTAGATAGCTTAGTTTTGGACATTCATAGGTTGCTTCAGTTAACCACGTTAATTAAAAAGCAAAACCATAATCACTCCTTTTATGATCACTTGTTAATGACCATTACAATTCTTGGCATTTGGTTCACAAAGGACTATATTGGTATAGAAGAAGCCCTGTGCTACAGTGGAGATTCATAATCTGAGCTCAAAGGCATCGCAGCAGCTTTGAGTCCCACATTGCTCCTAAAGTGCTACTGGAGATGGAGGATGTTTTTAAAATGAAAAGGAACATTCTAGAAGGGTCCTGATACTCTGTACTGTAGAAATTCCCAGGTGTTATCCTGCCTTCTTAGAACATAGGACATTTGAGGGAAATAGAAGGAAATAAGGCTAGTGACATGGGTTGATAACAAGCTATTGAAAGGCTATGCTAAGGAGTTTAAATTCTTACCTGTTTAAAACAGGGTGGGGCAGGTGAATGAGACTGGGTCCTGATGGTGAATGGAGCACACAAATCAACCTCCTGGTCCAACCCAGACCCCACAGTAGGACATACTTAACCATGAGCCGATACCTTCAACAAGGAAATATGGGGGAAAAAAGGGAATGTGTGTGTGTGGCGGGTGAGGGGGGGGCGGCGGGGAGGGGGAGGCAGCAGGTAATCTAAATTAGAGGTCCAAGGTTGATTTAACCAAATGCAATGTACAGCACTTCATGGAATCTTGGCTTAAAGCAGCTTCTTTCTGACCCTTAAAAAAAAAAAAAATTCCACAGGGAAATTTGAAATTTAGAAAGCAGATGTGATCAAATTGCCACTAAAAGAAAAGTACAAAACCACAGCTTAAAAGATCTAAAGAAGAAAGTCAGAGGGAAAACAATTCTAGTGGTAGGCGAGGCTGAATGTTAGAGGAAACTGATGAAAGTTGACCAGAGTGGGCTCACCTGGTGATGAATTAGGTATATGCAGATCACCTGGGTGAGGTGGGCCCCTAGACTCTCCCAGCTCACCCCTACTTCATCCTGAAGAGAATGAACTGTATGTGGGACCTGGGTTCCTAGTGCTGGTAATTTCCAGAACTTTATAATTGACCAGGAGAAATAAAGGAATGGCAGGTCTGCCCGGGAAGGAAACAGACTAAAGTACTTGGCTTTCAGAGTATTGCCTTCCGTTATTATTTTGACAGTGAGTTGGCCTCAGGCTCTCTGGTCTCCAGCCTTGCTTCTACTGTCTTACCCACTCACACCAAGCCCACAGTTGTCCCTTCAAGGAAGCAGCCACTGGGGAGACTGCTTGTACATGATGACTTCGTCCTTGATTCATACTTATGTCTGGATAACCAAGGATCTCCAGACATTAACAGAACTAGACACAAATGCAGACACTAGACACAACTATTCCAGAGACAGGTTATTAAGGGAATAGAAAAAACTTCTAAAATTCTGATTTGTATTCTCAGTGAGGGTATCACATCCTAAAAATAGCAAGTTATGAGGAATTACCAAAAAAGAAAAATCTTAGAAGTGAGCAATTCACATTAAATGAACTAAAGTCATAAAAATCTCTGGAAGGACTGAAGAATGAGCTGGTGATATAAAAAATGAAGTTAAGGGACTCTCTTTGAGAAAAGCAGAGACATGAAGGATCAATTGTGGATGTCCCACATCTAGTGGAAGATTGCCAAGGAAGGATGAAGACGGAGGGAATTGGGAAATGGAAGGAAACTTACAGAGCCAAAGTTCCACTGAGAGCCAAGTAGGATGAATAAGAACTATGCTCAGACACATCCTAGAAAACCATCAGAACTGATAGCATAAAGAGAAAAGCACAGACGGGAAAACAAAGCAGCTTATTCTTTTTATCAACAACTGGATGCTAGAAGAAAATGGACCAGTAGTTTCAAGGTTCAGAGGCAAGGGATTTTTGACCTTGGAAATATTTACCAGGTAAAACTAGCACTGAATTGTGAGCCCTAATGCCACTATTAAGTAACAGAAATAAGGGGTTTAACTCCTGAAGTCTTATGGGAACAGAAAGAGGGGAAAAGGAAAATCCAATCAGCCAAACAGAAGGCATGGGAAAAAGAAACATAATTACTGTGGATGGGAAGCATGAAATAACCAATGAAGGGAATAAGACCATTTCACATTAAGTTATAAAAATTTTACAATTGATATTATATGATAATAGTTAATGTACATTAGTTAATGCATTGATATAATTAATTAAATTCCTACATTAAAATCACAGATTATGGAAAGAAACCTAAAAATTCAGATATATACTATTTACAGAATTCACACAAAATTAAAATGATATGGAAAGGCTCAAAATAAAGAGATGAAAAATGACTATATACTAGAAAAAAATTTCAAGTGAAAAACATTAAAAAGGACAAAGAAGTATATTTCAAATATATAGTTTTCTGCCCATAAAATTATCAATGTATAATCTATAGACTTAAAATATGTTATATAAACATTTAGGTTATTATATATATCAAATATTATAAATTATGTTTTTATGTGAATATGTATAATTACCATGAACCTCTATATACCTAACCCAAAATTAGATACAGTCTGTAGTTGGAGAAATTTATAAATTCACAAACTATAATTAGGAAAGATTTTACCACATCTTATAAGCTGAAAGATGAAGTAGACCTAAAGTAAGAAACAAAACAATAAGTTCTGTCTAAAAAATAGAGAATACATGTCCAGCACATATGTGCCCAGCAGAAAATACACATTATTTTCAAGTATCCATGGAACATTAACAAAAACTATATTACACCACAAAGAAAATACCAACGCATTCTAAGAAGCAGTCATGTAGGATACATTTGCATTAACAATGCACTGAAATAAGAAATGAGTGACTAGTCAATAGCCAAAAAAATTAAAAACCAAAGCCAAAAACACCATACTGTTGAAATTTGAAAACAGTTCAGGTAGGTGTTTAATGGAACTCTGAGGTTAAAATGGAAGTATAAAGTGAAATTACAAACTAACAATGAAGGAACATAGACACAATATATATCAAAATCTTTGGGGGACAACAGAGTGCCACTTGGAGGACTGTGTCATCCAATAGCACTTTTGGTAGTGATGACAGCATTCTATAATCATGCTGTCTGATACGGCAGCCACTTGCCATACGTGGATATTGAGCACTTGAAATGAGGCTAGTGCAACTGAAGTGAATCTCAAACTTTAATTTTAGTTAACATAAATTTAAATAGCCCCATGTGGCTATCAGGGTGGACCACACAGTTATAGCCTCTGATAAAGCATCGCCAAGGAAAAGAAGATAAGAAAATTTAATTATATATTACCCTCCAGTTAGAAAGCAAGAATAACAATGCACATAATAAATATTATATACATTTAAAAACTAATACATTTAAAAAGAGAATAAAATGAATTTAAAATATATATATATGTGAACTCATATATATATATATATATATATATATATATATATATATATATATGAATAATTCACTTAAGGTAGAAAATCTAAATTTACTGGTAGTCATTAAGGAACTGTAAAAGGTACTCTAAAATCCATCTCTGTAAATGGCTTCAGGCCCAGATTCTGCAGACATGTTTATCTAAATTTTAAGAAGCAGATAATTCTGTTTTATAAAATATTCAAGACCATATAACAATATTGAAACTTTCTGTTTCATTCTTCAAAGCTGGCATGACCCTGAGATACCCAAACCAGATAAGACAATACAATAAAAATTGTATCCAGTTTTACTTATGAACATAGATGGAAAAATCTAAAATAATATGAATGAATTTAGTCTACACGTTATAGGTTTATCCCAGCAAGGGAATTATGGCTTGACATTAGGAAATCTATTAATGTAATTCACTACCTAACAGAATATAGAATAAAGGAGAAAAAAGTATAATTATGTTGATCCAAAAAAGCATTTGGTAAATTTCAGCACCTCTTTCTGATTTAAAATTCTTAGCTTCCAAATAGAAACTTCATTAATTCAGTAGACGGTTTGGACCAGAAACTTTCTGTATCATATTTAGTGGCAAAAACATTGAATTATTTCCACTAAACTTAGAAACAAGAATGCCTAGTGTCACTCCTACTATTCACCATTGTTTTGGATGTTCTAGCCAGTGCTTTAAGATCAATGAATAAAAGCATAAATTCTGGATATAGGGACAAATGTGTCATTTTTATTTTATTTTATTTTTAGAGAGAGAGTGTGCATGCATACTCACAATTGGAGGGTGAGAGAGGGGCAGAGAGAGAGGAGAGAGGGACTTTCAAGCAGGCTCCTTGCTCAGCTCAGAGCCTGTCATGGGACTCAGTCTCATGACCCTGAGATCATGACCTGAGCCAAAATCAAGAGTCTGACCATTAACCACCTGAGTCACCCAGGCACCCCCGCAAAATGTCATTTTTGAAGGCAATATGATTATATATCTAGAAAATTCAAAAGAATCAACTAAAACATATTAGAACTAAAGAGAGAGTACCATAAAGTTCTTGAAGCAAATTCTTCATAAATTAGTAGTAGTCTCTGTGTTAGTAGTAATCAATTAGAAAATGCAGAGTGAGAAAATCTATCCCCTTTACAATGACTCCAGAACTTTGAAATATCTAGGACCAAACATGAGAACATGTGTAGAATCCATATGAAGATAACATTTAAAAAGGCCTGAGGGGGGGGGGGGCGCCTGGGTGGCTCAGTGGGTTAAAAAGGCCTGAGGAAGGCACCTGGGTGGCTCAGTGGGTTGGGCCTTTGCCTTTGGCTTGGGTCGTGGTCTCGGGGTCCTGGAATCGAGTCCCGCATCAGGCTCTCTGCTCAGCAGGGAGCCTGCTTCCTCCTCTCTCTCTCTGTGCCTGCCTCTCTGCCTACTTGTGATCTCTGTCTGTCAAATAAATAAATAAAATATTAAAAAAAAAAAAAAAGGCCTGAGGAATTGTTGAACTACTGTGAGAAAAGCAACTCACTTTTAAAATATAATATTTTTAAAAATATTTTAAAATATTTTTTAAAAAATATTTTAAAAATATAATAACTTTTAAAAATATAACTTTTAAAAATATAATAACCCCTTCGTGGAAAAAAAGGTGTATATATAAAATTACCTGGAAGGATATAGACCAAACTGTTGACAGTGGTTGCTTCTGAGGAGGGGATTAAATGAGTAAATGAGATACTTTTTTTTTTTTTTAATGGAAGAAGGAAGAAAATTAGAAAGCAGAGAGAAATGGGAAGTGCCAAAGTTTTGCTTACTTTGAACTTGACTAGTTTCTTGCACCTCAGATCTTCCTTCCACCCACCCCTGGGAAACCAGGCTGAAGGGGAGTGGAACCCCCATGGTGGAACAGCCTTCCCAGCATCCTGCCTTGCAGATTTGTGTCTTTGGCAAGCTGCCTTTCTCTTCATAGGTGTTTCCAACTCTTGGACCCACTTCTTTAGGCTTCAAGTCTGGTCAGCTCCCAAATCTGTTTTCTCACATGGATCTGTCTGTGGCCTGCCATTTCCCACTGTCTCCTGACTGTTTGCATTAATTCAAGCATCCCTGTTCTTTGACAGTTTTAGTGGATTGTGTTCAATAACTGTAGAGAATAAAATGTAGGAAAATGTGAAGATGGAAATTATATTTTTTTCTAACTGAATATGCTTGAAAATAATCCCAAAAGGAAAGAAAGATGCTTTTTTGGCCCCAAAATATTGGGTTTTGAATAGCATGTGTATTCCATTTAAAGAAAATACTATGCATATCTCTTGGAATTTAGGAATTTGGAGCTTACTGTGTTTTCTGGAATGTATGTTTCATCAAAATAAATGGTTTGGGAGAGCTACCAGTTTGTTTTTCTCAGTAGTAAACAGATTTTTGAGCAGGATGAGTGATTGGGAAACTGGGCCTTAAGAATCCTATCTGTTGTTCCTAGGATAAGAAAGAAACCCGTGAGAAAACCGTAGTAGAATACCATTTGTACGCAAAAGTATTTTTAAAATAGCATGACCTTCAGATCCATTCATGACCTCAGGTACTGAAGGCAAGAAATTAATAGTTCCCGTCCCTGAGATGCTTCTAGTGGACCATTCAGTCTACTTGTAGAATCAGTCGTTGTGTTCTTTATCACCTTTATTTATTGTATTCTCTTGTACATGACATTTTCTCTATGCTCAAATGTTAATTATGTGGTACTTCTGCCTTTTTCCTTCTCTTTCAGGCAAAAATAGACCTCTTGTTAGTTGGAGACCTCACTGTTCAGTACCTGGCAGATATTGCACAGAAATCCTTTTCAAATATTGCAAAAGTCACCATAACCATCAGGGATGTGGGGCAGGCAGCCGCACTGCTGAAGGACCGCCCATTTGACATGGTTTTCCTGAAGATGACTTCTTTGCCAACAGCCGAGTTGCTGGGAGCTATCAAATTAATTAGGTGAAGTTCAAAAACCTTGACTCTATACCTTTATAATAGTTTTTATTAAAACCCATTTCTAGTACAGAAAAAAACACAAACTTTAAAAAATGGTACTATGTATGCTCTCGTTTTTAAGATGAGAGATATTTTCATGGGCAGAATAGGTACACATATTATTGTTTTTGTTGCCAGTTTGACATGCTATTATAAGAATTATCATTTTAATTTGAAAAGTAATAGATATAGGTGAGAATGTGAGAATTAATTAGTCATAGAAATTTATTTGGTATATAGTACTTTAATCCCACAGCTACTCTCCTTTTTAATAACTATGTCACTTAAAATGGCACATCTTTTCAGGGTTCGTTAATTGTGATGGCAGATACTAAAGCAGGGGAGCACTCTCAGCTCTATGTCATGTTAGCAATGGACTAAAATCATCTTGTTCAAAGATGTCCTAATGTGGAAGAGCCTCAAGGCTCTCCAGATCCGTCCAGTCGAGATCTATATTACATCCAATACTTTTGCTTCATCTTGTAGCTCCGTAGACATTCTGCTTCTGTTTGACCCACTCCGCTCTAGAGGTCTGGAGTCTGGTGGTTGGAGAGTTAGGTGTGCTTTCTTGCCTGACTACATAGGATTTTGAGCCATTTTGGATTTTTTTTTTTTTTTAATGAGAGAGAGAGATTGAGAGAGGTGGGGGTGGGGCAGAGGGAGAGAATCGTATGCAGGCTCCACACTCAGCTCGGAGCTTGACATGGGGCCTCATCTCACAACCCTGAGATCATAACCTGAGCTGAAATCAAGAATCGGATGCTCAACAAACTGAGCCACCCAGGCACCCCCCATTTGGGGTGTTTTTAAACAAGGTTAGGTCAAAACGAATTTCTTCCCCGTCTATGAGAAGATTTGAGAGAGCTTGTAATATTGAAGGACTTGTAATAATTACAGGACAGGCCTTTCTGTCAGAGACAATGTTGTTATCCCTGAATAACAAGGAGCAAACCTGTTCTGTTACTGGCCAAGAGAAGTTGAAATGGGAAGAAGCCAAATCTACGACATCCTTGTTAAAAAAGAGAGACAGATGCAGCTCCAGAGGTTTCTTAGAACTGGTGATCCTCTGCATTTCTTTTGGCTTTCCACTGGGAATATGCACTCTAGACAAATCAGGCAAACTACCTCAAAGTCGATTTCATTTCCAAGATATGTTGTGAACTGTTTCTTCTGAAGATATGCCTCTTTTATTACATACCTTTAAAAAACGACTCCTATGAATAGAGTTCCCTGGCTGGGACTTCATCATAATTTCGCATTTATTGTATTTCAACACTTTTACAACAGTGTTATGAGGAAGGTAGAGCAGGATTTTGTCATCCCTACATGACAAATGACGAAAGGTGAAGGGATTTGCCTAAGGCCACATGACTGACTTTTACAAAACTCAAACTAGAACTCTTTTTTCTTCATGTTCTTTGTAAAAGTCTGTAATTACTTGGCTTCTGTGCTGAAGCCCCTTATTTCACACCCCTGAGGTTCAATGTTTGCCACACTTTGTACAAACATACTTAGCATTTTGGAAGAGTACTGGACAAATTGGTGTGGCTAATCTCTCTCTTCATTTCAAGAGTAGGTGCCTAGCCAGGTCCCTCTGACTGTAGTAAAGGCTTTGTATTTGCTAGCATTGAAGCTACATTTTGAACAGGAATAAGATTATGGTTCTATTTAAGAACAAGTTTTATGTCTAGTTTCAAATATTAAAAGCTAGAAGGTTAGAGGAGAGAACTCCCCGTCTGATACTCACCTGTGTGGGTTCTCCCCACTGGTGGTTTCTTTGCTCTGAATAACACAGCTGATGACTTTTCCGCAGGGAAAAGAAGGTAGACAAAGGTACTAAATATACAGAAATGCATATGGTAGTTCTGTTTTGCTATAAAAACATTTGTTTCAAAAGAAAAAGAGGATCATTTGAAAACACCTGGATATGTTTTTCTTGTCTCTTGTTCTGCTAATACCTAGAATATAGTATAGTACCCAGTACCTAGCTGGGGTATGACGGAACAACTGTGTGGGTGTGTTGGAGAAATGCCATTCAGTGCAGACATTGCCTTCTAGCTTTTGCCTTCCTCCCTAAAAAGGGGATAGTTTTCTTTGTGGAATCTTTGCCTTTCATGATGCTAGCTTCAGAGGTTTAGGATGTCCCTGGAATTCCCTTTCTTGCCCTCAGAACTGTTATGAGTTTATGACTTATGAATTATTTAAACTCTCGTGGGATTATACATGTTCGTATTTTTGTTTCTATTTTTGAACCTGTGGTTTCTCTTAGAGTAATGAGTCCTGTAAACTTACTGCCCCATTTGTAAGGCATTTAAAGCTTCATCATTCCTAAAGCACTATATCTTTTGAGTTGGAGCTGACATTTAATGTGCAAACCAGAACGAAATGTTTAGCTTTTCTTTTGCTGTTATTTTAGATTTTTCCCTCTTACATCCTTGTTGCTTTGTAATGTCTCAAAATCTGGATGAGTTCTGCAAAATACACAACTGTTTATGTTCTCTCTCTAGGTATTTTATACATTTCACCAGTTAGTAAGAAGCTTAATGTAGAGTAGAAATGTCCCCATTTATTTGCAGTATTACAGCCCATAATCACAAATCTATATATTTATAATACATATGGATTTCTACTGAAGATAAGAATGAAGTATATAGCCTGTTAGCTATAAGATTAGGCTTTTTTTTTAGAATAAAATGTGAGCAGCCTATTTAGGATTTTTAAATTTATGCTTATATAAGAACTATGTTTTCAGCTGAGAACTAATCAATGATCACTTTTAATCATTCATAAAAATATTGGTAATTTACAGGCTGACATTCTCAAGAATTATGGCACATCTTAGGGGTGCCTGGGTGACTCTGTCAGTTAATCATTTGCCTTTCCTCAGGTCATGATTCTAGCATCCTGTGTCGGGCTCCCTGCTCTCCCTCTCCCTCTGCCCCTCCCCCTGCAATCTGTCTGACTCACTCTCTTCTCTCAAATAAGTAAATAAAATCTTAAAAAAAAAGAATTATGGCACATCTCAATTATAGGTTAATGATCTTAATAGTACTCCCCAATTTTATTTCATTTTACGAATACATTGTTATTGAGCCAGATGAACTCAAATACTACCCACTGATAGAATGTTTTAAGAGTCTTAGGGCTCATATGCTTGGCTTCAGACTTCCAAATTGAACTCCACTCAAAAAGCAGACACTTGATAATTCAAATACATCCTGATACCTTATCTTCCAAAGCCAGGTATGGAAAATTAAAATATGTTTTAAACTCATGGACAATGTATGGATCCGTCTGAAATTGTGATTTTTCCATTCCATGAAATGTCTCTGTAGTCCTTAGAATTCTGTGCTTGTGAGCTCTGAGTAGTTCAGCAGTAGCAAAGGAATGCAGAATGTGGTTCCATCTGTTCTGGCTACAAATCAAGTTTGGATCTGATTTTATTTTTCCCATGTAGTTTCAATTGTCTGATCAGTTAACTTATTACTTCACTAAGAAAACCTAATCTTGTGAGCCACAGGGATCTATCTAACAAGCTGTCCGTTTGTGTCCCCAATTCCAAAACATCTTTGACTTGACAGTGCAACTCAGTAAATCTTACTAGTTAGTTGGCATGACCCAGCCCCTGAATGCTTGATGATAAAATAACAACAAAATATCAAAGTAGTTTTGCTAAAAACATAATCCTATAAATTGACAGTTGAGTGTAAATGTGGTGACCCTGACTTAGGTTCACAGCAAGAATAGTGTAATGGGAACAGAGCAAACCAACCATCACTATCAACAGAACAAACCCTCAGAGCTCAACTAGATTTTATCACAGGTGCCCTATTAGGAGCAAGGGAACTTAACATTTTCACATGTAAAGCTCTCAATTTTCTCATTGAAAATGGTTATTTTAATTAAGTCATTAGCAAAGAACATTATTTGTTGCAAGTCCCAAATAGGCCAGCCAGGTTAGTTTGGCTCCAGTTGGCATAATGGATATGGCATAATGGCATAATGGCTCCAGATGGCATAATGGATAATTGTACTCAAGAAGGCTACCACCCAAAAGCGACACTGGCTTTTGTGCCTTGAAGTCCTTGTACTCCCGAAGTTTCCCCTGGCTTCACAGGGACTTATAAGACCCCACTGGTCCTTGTATTAGATGGTAGATTTCCGAGACCAGGGCTTTCTTGAGGTTCTTTAATTAGCTGTGTGTATGACTCAGCTCAAGTCACTTTATACGACCTTTTTTATTTTTTTCAGCTACCATGGGCCAGACCTGGGCGTAGGGGCAAGATTGGGGATCTGTACTGCTGCAGTTTGAGCTTATTTCTCCAGCTCCAGAGATACCAAAGACAGGCATAGGAAGGGACACTAGAATATCAACATCCAGTCTTGTCTGTAGAGTATGGTCTCAGGAACCGTGTCGACATTTAAATGGTTTGTTGTATGGAACATGAGGAGAAATGAACTGTCCCCCAGTGAATTGCAAATTTTTAAAGCCCAAGAGATTTCAACTGAGAAGTTACTCGTAAGGCCTCAAAACCTGCAATTTGATTTTGGTATATGGAAGAAGTGCTGTTAATTGAGGTGGATGAAAGAGATTTTTGCTTTATTTCTGTGTTGCTTAGTTTTAAGGAACATTCATTCATTAAGAAGAGGATTTTTTTTTTTTCTTTTTGTGATCCTGGAAACCCTTAGCTTATCGATCTGTAGAGAATGTGAATGAGCAGCTGAGCACCGGACCAGAGTGTTGGATTCTGGGAATTCTCTTGGTTCGTGGAGCTCCTGTACAGCATCACAATTAGAGTTTCACTGGCAGGAGAAGTGTTGGGGTTGGTAATTGATTCTGTACTAATGACAAAAATCCAGGAATTCCAACTCTGTCCGATGCAAAGCTTGAAATTTGAAAGTCGTCGTGAGGGCATATAAATTCACTATCCAAGTCTAATCTACTTTTGTGCTGGTAATGTCAATTTGTAAAATAAAAAAACAGACACAGAATATTTCTAAAAGCAAAGAATCTGTTTTATTTAAAATTCTCTAATTCTAGAGTATTTTAGCTTATAATTTCTCTTTGTGAATCAGCAAAATGTTTTTTATTTCAGAAGTTGAGCTAGACGTTTCTTTCTGTGGTCCTATTTGTTCAGTTCATTTTTCCTTTCCACTTCCGTTTCCCCATCTCGTTATCATGCCTCCATCATATCCCACTTAAAATTATACATGAAATGCTTACATCGTGGCAGGTGACATTCTTATCTCCCTCCATGCTACCATGCCCTCCCACACCAGTAAGCTAATGTGCCTTTCTTACCTCCACATCTGGTCCGCCAGTCAGTCCTAGGCTCCCTCCCGCATGTGCTTGTTTTGATGGTCGTACTTCTGCCTGAGCTTCTCATTTCCTCATAGAAATGTGCATTCTCTCTTTTTTTCTCTTTTGGCCCAAACTCCTCAGAATTCGTACAGCAGAATCAAGCCTGAAGAAATCTCAGTTGTGTGCATGTCATATGTTAGCACTGTCCTGCTTGTTTGAAGTAATTAGTAAATATTCTGAATTATTTGATTTTTTTTTTAAAGAAAGTTCTCTGGTATGTCTACTTTACTCTACCATCAGTTCTTGGCTGTGTACTTGGAATATGGTCTCCCAAATCTACACTGTGCTGTCATCCTCCGTCCACCCCATCATAGAGTGGTCTTTCTAAAATGCAAATATAATCCTGTTAATAGCTTAATAGCTTCCCATTGTCCATTTTAAGAAAATACCAAATCTTTAATTGAGCCTAAAGGTCTACATACCTTCTCTGGTCTTATGTTATGTGTCTCTCCCTTAGAGACTCTGTATCATCTTGGACTTATTTGACTTTCTCTATATTCCAGGGCCTTTTCCCAGGGCCTGTTCTGTTTGTCCAGAAAGTAGTTTACTGCTTATCTGCTTCTGACCCCCGCACCACTCAGTTCTACCTTGTGTAAAGCTAACGCCTAATCAGCCACAGAGGCATTTCTGCCTGGAAGCCTGAGGCTGCAGAGTGGGGTAGTTCCCAGTTATGTCCTTCCACTGGCCTGTATGACTTTTCTTCACAACACCGGGTACATATTTGGCTACTTAATTAATTATCTACAGTGATTTGTTCAACATCCGACCCCCTTAAGAAACTGTTCACTCCATGAGAGCAGAGACCTTGTTTTCCTGTCTGTTCATGATATTCCCTAGAGCCTAGCACAAGTCTGGCACTTAGTGGGTTCTCATAGTATATGACTCAGATATATAAATTATGTATACAGTTGACCCTTAAATAGCATGAGGGATGGGGGTACCAATTTCTTGCATCGTCGAAAATCCATGTATAACTTTTTTACAGAGGGTATTTTTTTATTGTGTTGAAATCCCATAACCAAGTGTCTTGTCCATTTTTTAGTGTTCAGTTCAGTAGTGTTAAGTGTATTCACATTGTTGTGAACTGTACCTCCAGAACTTTTTCATCTTGCAAATCAGAAACTCTGTTCCTATTAAACAGCTCTCCCTCTACCCCTCTCTGTATCTCCTGATAACCACCATTTTACTTTCTGTTTCTATGAATTTGACTACTTGAGATACTATAAGTAGAATCGTATAGTACTTACTTTTTTGTGACTGGCCTATTTCACTTAACATAATGTCTTCAAGGTTTATCCATATTATAGCATTTAACATCTTTTCCTTCTTTTTAAAGACTGGATAATATATTCCATTGTATGCATATAACACTGTGATGGTTAACTGGGCCATGGGTACTCAGGCATTTGGCCAAACATTCCACTGGGTGTATCTGTAAGGATGTTTCTAGAATATTTTCACATCATGTTCACAGCAGCACTATTCTCAATAGCCAAGAGGGAGAAGGAACCCAAATGTCGACAGACAGATGAATGGATAAACAGTGTGGCTATATTAATCAGATCGGATTCTCAAGAAACAGAACCAATAGGATGGCGAGCTATCTATTGATCTATCATCTATCTGTCCATGTACCTAGAGATAAAGGAGGAGAGAAGTTGATTTATTTTAAGGAAGTGGCTCATGACATTATGGAAGCGAAGAAGTCCCAAAATCTGTAGTTGGCAAACCAGAGATCCAGGAGAGCTGATACGTAGTCATTCAGACTGCAAAGGTCTGAGAACCAGGAGCTGATGGTATTAAATTTCATTTGAAATGCTGGCAGGCTCACCACCCAAGAATAGCCGATACTTCAGTCTGAGTCTGAAGGCTGGAAAAGGCCAATGTCTCAGCTCTGGAGTCAGGCTGGAGGAGTGCCTTCTTACTCAGACTTTTTGTTCTATTTAGGTCTTCAATTAATTATGTGAAACCCACCCACTTTAGGAACGTCACTCTGCTTTATTCAGTCTATCTCAATTCAGGTGTGGTTCTCATCCACGTGTAACTTTTGACTACCTCCAAAAACTGAACTACTAATTACTTGCTGTTGAACTGAAGCCCTGCTGATAATTTGGAACAATCAATTAATACCTATTTTGGAATTTATATGTATTATATGCTGTATTTTCAGAATAAAGTAAAGCTAAAGAAAAGAAAATGTTATTAAGAAAATCATAAGGAGGGGCGCCTGGGTGGCTCAGTGGATTAAAGCCTCTGCCTTCAGCTCAGGTCATGATCCCGGGGTCCTGGGATCAAGCCCCACATCGGGCTGTCTGCTCGGCGGGGAGCCTGCTTCCTCCTCTCTCTCTACCTGCCTCTCTGCCTGCTTGTGATCTCTCTCTGTCAAATAAATAAATAAAATCTTTAAAAAAAAAAAAAATCATAAGGAAAAGAAAATATACCCACTACTGTCCTATATTTATAAAAAAATCTACATGTAAGTGGATCCACATAATTCAAACCCTTGTTGTTCAAGGATTAACTGTAATGTGACTTGGAGCATAGAATTGCATGTCTTTACTTTCAGTACATATATAAGATAATCTAACAATATTGTTTAGTGAGGGTTCTTCCAGGTCCTGTCTTAAGGAATAAATAATAATCATGCCTAACCACATACTGATATAATAAATGATGCTTTAAGCATTAGAGAATAGTTATTTTTTCTTAAGCCGTTGAGCAGTTCTCTTTAAAGCCTCGTTCACAATAATATTCTCCTTAGAAAATAATTTCCTTCTAGCTAATGCCAATGCTCAATATCCATTAAATTATTAGAATTTCCAACTTACTGATCTCCTCAGTGTAGTTTATTGTAATGCCACATTTCTTTGTTTTATTTATTTTTTGCTTCAATCATGTAAAAGTAGAGAGAACAGTATAACGAACTTGCCTGTACCCATAATGCAACTTTAATAATTACAAATACATGACCAATCTGGTTTCATCTCTGCCCCCTCCTACCTTCCCACCCCTGTTCACTGGTGAATTATTTTAAAGCAAATCTAAGTACTTTCATCCATAAGTACTTTAATAAATACCTCGAAAAGATAAGGACTCTTCTAAAAAAAAAACCCACAATAACAATATCACACCTGAAAATTAATAAGTTCTTTAAATTATCAAATACCAGTGTTCAAATTTTTCTGCTTATAATTTAATTTTAATTTTTTTATTTATTCATTTTTTAAAGCTTTTATCTATTTAAGTAATCTTTATACCCAATGTAGGGTTTGAAACGAGACTCCAAGATTAAGAGTCACATGTTCCAATGAGCCAGCTACTGCCCTATCTTTTGATTTTTTTAAACTGTTAGTTTATACAAATCAAGATTAAATTTCCCCTTTCCTCTGTTTTAATTTCTTTGTTTCTTACTCTTTATATTTTTAAAAGGGGTCATTTGTCTTACAGAATTTCTCACGCTCTGGATTTTGCTGATTTCATCCCCACAGCATTCTTTAAAATATTTCTCTTTTCCTTAAATTTCTTGTAAAATGGTGGTTAGGTCAAGAATCTGGATATGATTTAAGTTCTTTTTTTTTAAAGCAAGAATAGAAATGGTCCAGCCCTTCAAACATCACTGATTGGAGATGCTGCTTTTACTAAATTTCCATATGAATGCCACCATTTTAAGTTCTACAGAAATAAAGGAAATCACTCTAGTTTAGTTCTTAGTAAGGTAAAATACTGAATCCCAATTTTTTTAAAAATATTTTATTTATTTATTTGACAGACAGAAATCACAAGTAGGCAGAGAGGCAGGCACAGAGAGAGGGGGAGGTAGGCTCCCTGCCGAGCAGACAGCCCGATGCGGGGCTCGATCCCAGGACCCTGGGATCATGACCTGAGCCAAAGGCGGAGGCTTTAACCCACTGAGCCCCTCAGGCACCCCCTGAATCCCAATTTTTTAAATGATGATTTTGGTTCATGTTGACATTTTTTCCCTCAGATTTAGCAAGAAGAAAAATACACATTTGCTGTTTGTTTTTATCACCCCTGAGAATTTTAAAGGTATGTGCCTGCTGGACATAATATTTGTTTTTTCTTCAAATAGAAATCATAAGGTCAATATTTAAAACAAAAACTCTTAGGTTGTGTTTCAGGGCACGGAGCTGACATTACTCTAAATGAACCAATGACCATCGAGAAAATGAGTATTGTGGTAAAGTACTGGAAAACCTATTTCTCAAATACTGGTGAGTGAAAACTAAATATCCAAAGGTTTGAAAAGTCCTAATTAGATCTACAAAAGCTACACTTAAACATTTTCAAGTTGGTTTTCCACTTATGCTTTTTATTTGCTAAGGATTAACTATTTACTGCTAAGGATATACTATTTACTATAAAGCATATGCAATCCCTATTAATCATAGTCTAAAGGGAAGATGTGTAAATAAAATAAAAGGAAACATACGTTTTCTACCTGTGAAGAAAAAATTTACATCTTCCAAAGTTGAAAATGTGTTGCCCAAGGGCAAACACAGTGCTGTGGCAGGCACAGGGTTTTTCTTTTTAGTGCCCTAGTTGCTACCATCATTTCTTACTCTTTAAAATGGAATTAATCATATTATTGTATGAGTGTCTAAAAGCCAAGGCCACTAACCTTGAATTGTATCACACTTTCTTTGCAAAACACTCGCTCATAGATTATTTTATTTCTTTAAGTTAATAGGGTGGTTATCCTTTCTGTTTTAGAATTTTAAATACAGATAATTAGCATCAATGCTTCAATTAGACCTCTCATTTCTAAACTCTTCACCTACATTGTATTATGTGTATCACCAGCATCTAAACACTTAAGCTGATAAAATTTACTTTAATTTGCTTCTAAAAGGACAGACTCCAATTTCTGAAATTAAATTCTACTGGAGTCACTGTTGTTCAATGACTATGGTTTTCCTAGGCCTGGGATACTAGGTAGGATTTTTTTTAAAATTAAGATGATGTATTTCTTAAAATGGGCCTGAAAAACACTTTCAGGATTATCCTGTATAAACTCCTGCTCCAGATGGCATAGGACTCAGTATATCCTTCCTTCCTTCCTCCTTCCTTCCTTCCTTCCTCCTTTCTTCCTCCCTCCCTCCCTCCCTTCCTTTCTTTCTTTCTAACATTCAGGGAAGATTAGTGAGCCTGTTCTGTAACATTCCAATGGCTCCCAGTCTCTGCAGCCTCAGAGTTCTTCCTGAAAATGGCTAACTGGTGACCCAAATCCTCTTTGCAACCTCTTATTCTGCTCTCAGTGGAAATAGAGCAGCTGCTCATCACCACCTGTCCAGCACCCTCCTTATTGGTCATAACCACGTCTGCTTCTGGTCATCTCATCTTTACTCTGAGGATGAGCAGCTGCAAAAAAAAAAAAAAAAAAGAAAGAAAGAAAGAAAAAGAAAACATCAGATGTCATATTTTGACAATACAGCTGCTTACTGTAGACTCAAACATATTTTCTTTCTCTGACATTTACCTATAAATAAGGACTTGATAAATAAACTCAGTTGAGTGTGTTTTAAGCACATCTATCACTAAGTTATTAGAATCTGATTGAAAGAGGATGTCCTGGAGTGAATGGAATGTATATTTTCGTTTTGTGTTCTAACCAGGGTGGTTTCATGCTTTATAGACTAAAATCCAAATTGCTTTCTATTTAAAAAAAATATTGCTTTTTAAAATCTATTGAATAAAAAGTGGCAACTGCTTTTTGATGAGGACTTGTATGTATGATCAACATTGTCCCCACCAGTGATTTTTAGAATTAAAATTGTCCCCTCTTTAAAACTTTCAGCTAAGATTGAATATTCTGTAAAGCCTGAAGAACCAGGATTGCCCCTGCAGAAGTCCTGCAGTGAACAATTGGGATATTTTTCTACTGATCTATTTGCTTGGTTAGTGTTTTTTAATTTTTCATAATAACAATGTTTCCTGTATAATTTCTGGAGAACTTACTGATTGTGGAATAGGTTCGTGTGCTAGGGGTGATGCAAAAGGAAGAAGAGGTTGTGTGATAGAAGGGGGATGGGCCGTTTTCTGTATTTCTCAGAGTCCTGAGCTGGGACTGTATGTATATATGGCAGGGGGATTCAATTCAATATAAGGAAGTGCTTCGTAGCAATCATGGTTGACCACAGCCAACCAAAGTGAACTGTGAGGTAGTAAGTTCCCCAACACTGGATGTGTTAGAGTCTGGTTATTGTTCATTAAGGTTAAATAATAGCGGTGATACTCAAACTTTTTAGAAATAGTACAATCATCTTCAAACAAAAACTTTACATATAACCTCAGTATTTAATCAGACAAGAGCAGCCTCAGATGTTACCATCTAACACTAAGCTTCTCCCTGATGTCTTTTTTTGAACTCCTGAATCTATCTCCCCAATTATTGAAAACAATACTTAAAAAGGTCTATCTCTGTCCCCACTTCTCTCACCCCAAGATGTTAGAACTGGTATTCAAATCTGCATTGGACAAGCAGTTGAACTGGGGTGAGACCTTTCCAATGCTAGAATTATCTGCTTATAAAAAATTCAATTTTTATGAATTTCTTTCATTCACTTTAAGCTGATTTCCAAGGAGATTTTAAATAGCACATAGGGTTGCAAGGAATTAACATAGCTGCTGAGGACATGGGTGATGATGGTGAGAATTTTGAGTCAATCACTTCCGGAATTTGTAGAATGTGACCATCAACTATTTGTAGAAATGTGACCATCTATTATTTGAAACAAGGAAAAGACTTGGCAACTAATAAGTGAGGGTAAACTGAGATGTGCTCACTTAAATGATGCAGAGATAGCAACAGGTTTCTTGATTTTAACCTGAAAGAAATTTATTATATTATACCTTTTTTGGGATATGAGGTTGGGAAGGGTTTTGAAAGGCTTAGGGATTTTCTTGAATTACTTATAACTTCTTTTTGAAGCCCCCTTGTCTTAAATCTTTGTTTTTCCTCAGAATTCTACCACTACAAATGAAAGTAAATTTTCAAATCAAGCTATGTCCCTTGGGATAGAAGAAATAGTATTAGTTTATAAGTTTCTTAAGTAAATATATATTTTTTTTTCTTAAGATTTTATTTATTTATTTGACAGAGATCACAGGCTGGTAGAGAGGCAGACAGAGAGAGAGGAAGGGAAGCAGGCTCCCCATTGAGCAGAGAACCTGATGCAGGGCTCGATCACCGGATCCTGGGATCATGCCCTGAGCCGAAGGCAGAGGCTTTAACCCACTGAGCCACCCAGGCGCCCTTATATTTAAAGATTTTATTTATTTATTTAACAGAGAGAGATACAGTGAGAGAGGGAACACAAGCAGGGGGAGTGGGAGAAGGAAAAGCAGGAAGCCTGCTAAGCAGAAAGCCTGATGCTGGGCCTGATCCCAGGACCCTGGGATCATGACCTGAGCTGAAGGCAGACGCTTAACAACTGAGCCACCCAGCCAACTCTCTTAGGGAAATATTTTTAAAAAGAATTAATCAAATTGCTTGGAGGAGTTTTAGAGAAATGGTAGAACCAGAAGATTTCTAAATGGAAGGAACTTGACCTCTGCTAATCAAGTTGGAATGGTGTACTGTGGCCCTTTAATCCTTCTTGTTGTTTTCCTATAATACACCTTTCGATACAGTCATATAATTTTTGGTAGTCATATCAGTGAGGTCAGAATATTTTAATCCTGCTTGTCTCTGTTATTCTTTATCTGTATATTTTAGAACTTTGATTAGTCATTGGACTTATGATGATCTTGATCATAAATTCTTTAGAGTCCCTGAAATAAAATATTCTGCACCAAATATATAAGGTAAAGTGCTTTGGTATTTTCTGCACCTTTGCACGAAGCAAGGGACTTAGAGAAGCACCTTTGATTAGCGTATTGGTGCTTATTGTTTAATATTGCCTGACAATTTTCCTCTTAAATCTACGACATGATTTTCTCTTGTTTCTAGCTCTGGATCTCTAAGAAATGACTTTGGGCTTGAATTAAAGGCTCCGTTGCCAGATTTTGAAAAAAACAAAAAGATATCTCTTCTTCATTCAAGCAAGGAAAAGCTAAGAAGGTGAATTATGGTACAGTCCGTTTTTAGTATTATTCCTTTCAAGGAAGAAATTACCTTCATGAATCGCATAATTATTTGTAGTACTGTTAAAAGTTTCTGTGAAACTAGTAAATCTGACAACTAAACACATGCAACTCTATTCCTTTTCATTCAGCAAATATCTGTGAGTATCTGATATGTGCTAAGATATGATTATAGCACCAGATAAAAAAATTAATCCTTGCCCTTCAAGGTCTTAGTCTGGTGCTCAAACAGACTTCTGGATAGGCTATTACATAGAAAGTTATATTTTCATAAGTTTCATGATAGAGAAGAGCACATAGTAAGCACACTGGGAAAGTTACTTAAGACAACCTCTTTCAAGGGAGCAGGAAGGCTTTCTTGAGGAAATGATGCTAAATTGAGCTTTAAATGAAAAGTGACAATTTGGTTTAAAAGTCGGGAGGATGTTTCATGAGGCAGGAATAGCAGGTGCAGAGGCTGGCAGTATCAGAGCATTCAGTGGATTTATGAACCTGCCAGTGTGTCCATGTACTGGGCTCTAATGGCACAAGTGGAAAGAGGCAAGAGACAAGAAGTAGGTAAGGGTCATGCACATCATGTTAAAGAATTCAAATTTGAATCTGAAACTGTTGGAGAGGCACTGAAGGATTTTTACCAAGGAGGGATGTGATAAGATTTGTACCTAGGGAAAAACAAAAAAAAACAAAAAGGATTTGCACCTGGAGTGAACACTAGCAGGATGTTAGAGAGTGAGTTGAATCTGGAAGTCTGTGGAATCTGTCAAAAGAAGTGATGAATCCTAACTATGGTTTTAGAAATGGGAGTAGGAAGAACAAATGCATTCCAGATATACTAAGTGGGTAGATTCAGTGGAAGCATGGATGTGGGAGGAGCCAGGTGTAAATAGATGTTGGGTCAACCAACTGCCTGGGAAGTCTAGTAGAATGGCAGGCTGGCAGTGGGAGGTGATTTTTGCGCTTGTTGGGTGTGAACACCTCCTTTTTTTTACACAAAGCTGTCTAGTCAGGAGTTGGCCCTTAGGTTCTAGAGAAAGATCTAGGCTAGAAATACAGACTTAGAGCTCTCAGAGATAGCATTTACTTAAAGCAGTGGATGTAGGGATGGATACGATAACTTTGCAAAGCATGTAGAGAAGAGATAAGTAGAAAAAAGAACCTTGGGAAAAATCTAAGGTATGGGAAGCAGAAAAGAAATCGGGGTAAAGAAAGATCAAGAAACCAAGAGGGACTGGAATTGAGACCAGGGAGAAGAGTTTCCTAAGGCAATGAGTGTTCAAGAGTATCACATGGCAGAAAACAACTAAGGGGAGAACTAGTAATTAACTCTTCGTATTTGGCAAAACGTAAACATCATTGGTCTTGGTAAAAATAATTTCATTGGCATGGTTAATGAAGAAACACCATTGTGGAATGATGGAAAATGAAAGGTGGGAGCATAAGTGAAAGGAAAGAGAAAATGAGGGTATATGATATATAAAAGGGGATCTAGAGTAAAATGAGAAATTTTGATAAGATTGGGCCAGACTTGAATATGTTTATATTTATATTCCAAAAGAAAATAGCTGGAAGAGAGATAGAGGTCTTAAAGATACTCATGTTCTGATTATCAGTGTTGTAAAAAAAAAAAAAAAATGGTGGATCTGTGGTATAAAAAATGAAACCAAAATTTGTTGGCTTGATATATGGTTTTATGAATTAACAATTTGAGTAGGGCTCAATGGGCAATTCATTTGCCTCTATGATGTCAACTGGGGTCACTGGTGGTATTCAGCTAGTGGATGGTCTAGTCAAGACAGTCCAAGACATTATGCCTGGAAGGCTTTGCAGGGATGGTTGGAAGGCTAAGCCCACTGGGACTAGTAGTTGAAGCTTCTTCAGCATGGTAGTCTCAGGGTTGTCAGGCTTCTTACATGGCAGCCCAGGGCTCCACCGTTCCAAGAGACAGACAGAGGAAGCTGCCACTGTCTTAAGGCCTGGGACCAGAAACAGGCTTGGTTCTATTTCTTCCATATGGGGTTGGTCACAACAGTCACAGAATTATCCCGATCTAAAGGAAGGGTACATAGAACCTTACCTCTCAGTGGGAGGAATGTAAAATAATATTAATCCCCTAGAGCTGAAAAGGGGGGTTGGTGATAGACTTGGTATCCCTAAGTAGATAGAAGTTTATGGATTCTAGAACCAGGTGGAACATCTCTTCTACTGAAAATGGAGAGAAGGAGCTAAAGCTAAATGTGAATAAAGATGAATCTTTTAATGGGGGCCAGAAAGGAAAAGGACGTTGAGTAATTTCTGCCAAATGGCCTCCATTTCCTGCTGAAGATCAAAGGAAAGGTGGGTTTGGGGCTTGGTGAGGTAGGCTGGTGGATGGGCTAGTTTGGTGCAAAAGACCCTCACTCACATGTTTGCTGCTTTGGCTGAATGAAGGCTTAGGTAGGGTCTGCTGGCTAGTGCTACTGCATAGATTTCACTGATCTGCACTGACTAAGAAAAATACAGTGCAGTATTTTTAAAGCTATATATTATGGAATTCTAAGATTTTGTTTTCCATATTTTATTTGGTGATATTAAATTTGTGATATTTCTAAATGATTGCAATGGAAGGATATTGGGAGATGCTACCTCTTTTATTTTTCATGTTGAGATCTAACAGTGAAAATCCTTTACTGGTCCTCCAAACTTCTGTGTTGTTTGTATTTTCTTCATTTTAATGGTTGATGAAAAAACTAAATGGTTGATGAACCACTCATCTACCAGACTAAAAATATGCTTTGGAAAGTGTATACCCCTGCAGCATAATTTAAAGAATTAGAAATCTTTGTCCCCCCATCCCCCCAAAAAGCTGTAACCGGAGTGCCCCATCTTCCCCTTTAGAGATTTGCTTGAAAGATACCAGAAAGTAAAGAATCCATCCCTAATTATTTTTTGCCTTTTCCTCCTCTTAACCCTTATGATGATGCCTGTGAATCTTAAAATGGATGCTTCTAGTCTGTTTCCTTTCCTCCTTCTCCCAGTCAGCTGCTTTACACACGCTTTTCTCTTGTCTTACTCCCAGTGGTGTTTTTGCATCAAAAGGTAACACGATGTTGACTAAGGTTGAGGAGATAATGGTCCCAGCTGGTGGTTTTGAATATTTGCATTTAGGAAGTTCTTTTTAAAACAAGTATAATAATTCTGTTTTCTTTATCAGAACAGACTAATAAAAATTGGCTACCTCATTCTAATATTCTTGGTGAAATCCCTTTTGTTATATGTCTTTTAAATACATTAAATATGTTTTCATCTTGTTAAGGTATACTTTTCAGAGTGATTCCAAGCCATGGTTTTGTTTGTGTGTCCATGAATCTGAAATGATGGTAGTTTAAAAATTTGGGGGGATGTCTATTCACTTGGAAAGACATGAAAGCGAGCTTTGCTATGGTCTCTCACAAAGGAAGGCTTTTCCAGGACTGAGCAAGTCTGAGGAATTCAAGGAAAGTAGAACAGGAAGTTTCCAGAGGGCCCCAAATCCGATCTGGCCAAAAGGCTTCCCTCTGTGAGTTTTCATTTGCTTGAGACACATTTGTGCAGAGGAGAAACCCAAGGACTTAGTTTGGACGAGATCTTTGGCCTCAGATCCCTTACAGCCACTGAGAATCACTCAACTAGGGGAGAATGACTGAACTGGTTCTTTCCTGACTTATTTGGAATGGATCCTAACCAAGCTGACTGTGGGCTACTGTGATAGATGACAAAGACCAAACATGCCCTTTGACAGGTCCTTGTCTATTGCTGTTCCATACACAAAGGAAAAAGAAAAAAAGCAGGACCATATGGAGTCTCTGGAGCCTGTTACCCTGTTCCTTTGAGCCAACATCTTCAAAGTTTCACTAACCATTTCCTCCTCACTCTTTTTTTCTGTTTTCTTTTAGTTAAAAAAAAAAAATCATTGTATAATTAACATAAAGGAGATTTGATGAAGTTAACCTACAATGAAATCTTCAGTGTATGTTTTTTTTAAATCTCTTTGGTTAAGTGCTCATCTTTTGTCTATCTTTCTACTGGGTTTTTCTGTTTTTTTTTTTTTTTTCTTATTGATTTTTAAAAATTCATTGTGTATTCTGGATATATGAGCCTTTTGTCAAATATATACATTGCAAATATCATCTCTCAGACCATGTGTTGAGATATATATATATATATATATATATATATATATATGCTAATACATAAGACTTGAAAGAAATTCTGCTCCCAAGAGGTCACTTTGGGTTGTGTCTCACTCAAAGGATGAAATTTTAATCTCTTTGATCCACTATCACTTAAAGATACAGGTCTCCTATTTTCCCTGCCCTGTCCTAATCTCAAGTTCCTAATCTTGATGTGAAAGCCAGAAAGATTTGAGAAGCAATGAACAAGGCTAGATCTATAATGTTTGCTAATACACTCTCTAGTCTCAGGAATATTTGAAAATTTAGAATAGAGTTATACTTAATTGATACTAGAAGATTAAATTAGTGTCTGTAAGAGGTAAGTTACATGTGTTTAAGTGTATGGTTTGATGAGTTTTAAAGAGATGGTTTGTTACCCACTGTTCCCAAGAGGAGGGGGTATTATCATGCCATTCAGGGCTACATAGGGAAGCACCAGGGTTGGTCACGAGGCAGACGAATGGATATACTCCTCTAAACCACAACATTTCCATTATATTAGAATGTTTCTTTGTGTATTAAGCATGTCTTTTTATTCTGATTTTTAAAAAAGATTTACCCATTTATTTGACAGAACGAACAAGAGAGAAAGCACTCAAGCAGGGGGAGCAGCAGGCAGAGAGAGGGAGAAGCAGACTCCCTGCCAATTGGAGAGCCCAAGGAGGGACTCAATCCCAGGACCCTGGGATCATGACCCAAGCCAAAGGCAGATGCTTAACTGACTGAACCACCCAGGTGGTCCTATTGATGGTTTGACATCAGGGAGCTTACTGACTGTGGGGAGACT